CCCCAATCTGGGCGCGAACGGGCCCGTGAGATACCCCCTGGCGGCCCCCCTTGGGACTGCTGAAACCAGCGACTCGCCTGAGACATCATCACAACGTGCGTTTGGGTCTGAGCGCGGAAGTGGCGTGGCTGAGTCTCTCATTGAGGAAGGGCGAGGCAGAGCATGAGTAAGTTTCAGTGTGAGTGAGTCTGAGTGTGCGTGTGAATGCGTGTGTGTGTGTGTGAACGGCCTGAGTATGATTAACCTTGAGTCTGAAAAGCGGCTCGAAGTGCGAGTGAGTCTGTATACCATTGATCTTGAGCATGAAGAACCTGAATATCAGTAGTCTCAGAGCGAGTGCACTTGAGCATGGGTGAGTCTGGATATGAGTGGGTCTACATGTGAGCGAGGCAGAGAAAGAGTGATGGCGTGCGGGTGGGAGGTGTGTTCTTTCCGTCCTTCCTTCCTTCCTTCCTGTGTCCCGCGCGCTCTAAGTAATCCCACCATCCCTTTGGGCGTCGGTGGTCTAGAGAGCTTCCTCTTCCAACCCCCTTCTTCCCCGTCGGGGAAGGTTTTTTCACTGTTCTTATTAATAAACACCCCCTCCCCCAGGCGACTGGGGGCCAACCAAAGTCCATGCCGACCCCCCCCACCATCCTTTGATAAAAACAATACAAACACACACTCTGCCTCCAAATTCAGAACATGCGCAGCCAACCCGATGCGGCCCCCCCCCACCATCCCTGTCCAAAAAACAAGGGGGCGGTGACTGCGGCGGCTGCGGCGGCGGAGGCGGCGGGGGCGGGGGCGGCGGCGGCGGCGGAGGCGGCGGCGGCGGCGGCGGCGGTGGCGGCAGCGGTTGCGGCGGCGGCGGCGGTTTGGCAACGGGGGGCGGCGGCGACGGCGGCGGCGGCGGCTGCGGCGGCGGCGGCGGCGGCGGAGGAGGCGGCGGCGGCGGCGGCGGCGGCTGCGGCGGCGGCGGCGGTACGGTGGCGGCGGCGGCGGTAACGGCGGCTGCGGCGGTTTGGCAGCGGAGGGCGGCGGCGGCGGCGGCGGCGGCGGCGGCGGGGGCGGCGTCGGCGGAGGCGGCGGCGGCGGCGGCGCCAGATTGGCCTCCAGAAGCTGTCCATCCCAAGACGACTGCTGAATATGCTCAGGCTCGGGCCAGACTCGGGTGCTACGTATGTGTTGGGAGGGCGGGTGAGGGTGAGCGAGACGGCTTGCGGGCGGGGAGGGGGTAACTTGACCCCTCCCCTTACCCCCTCCCCTGGACCTGGACGGAGGGTTCCGCGGGTCGTTGGGGCGTCCAAAATGGCCCAAGACGGTTCCAAGAGCGAAAAGGCGAGAAACACAACAAAACACTGATTTCCCGAGGTTTTGAAGGATGTTGGCCTGTTTCGGGGTCCGAAAAGGCGATTCGAGGCACTCTAGAGGGGCAGCGCTAATTTACCCCCCCCCCGTTTTTGATGGATCTCCCCAAACATGGCCCCAAAAACGCCTCGAGTACTCCCAAGAGCGCCCCAAGAGCGCCCCAAGAGGGCCCCGAGAGGCCCCACGAGGCGCCCAACAGGCCTCCAAGAGGCGACCTAAAGTAAAGACCCCCAAGAGGCCCCAAGAGGCCCCCCGAGATACGCAAGAGGCCCCTGGGACCGCCAAGAAGCCCAAAAGACTGCCCAGATGGCCCCTGAACTCGCCATTGCCCTCCTCCTCCTCCTCCTCCTCCTCCTCCTCTTTTTCTTCGTCCTCCCTTCTCCAAATCCCTCTCCTCCTTCTCCTCCTCCTCCTCCTTCTCTTTCTCGTCCTTCTCGTCCTCCACGTCCTCGCCCCCCTCCATCTCCTCCTCCTCATCTTCCTCCTCCTCCTCCTTCTCCCCCTCCTCCTCCTGCTCCTCCTCCTGCTCCTCCTCTTCCTCCTCCTACCCCGACGACGACGACGACTCCTACATCCTCCCCTTCTTGGGGCATGTGGCGGCTTACCCCGCCCTTTGTTCTTCTGCGTGCTCCCCCGCTTCCATCATCACCTCCACTCCCCTGGGACTAATTTATAGACTGGCTGGTGGGGATGTTTTTTGATTGCGGCTCACGCCTACCGACAGGCTGGAAGCGGGCAAAGCGTGAAGAACAAGCTGGTGGGGATACGCGAAGCGTTTAGAATAACAAGAGACCCATCTTAGGATATGGGGAAACTAACGCCCACCTGTTCGCACGCCCGAAGTGGCGTGTTTGGGTTCCCTTCGGGCCCGCACGGTGCACAATTGCTCGGTCTTCGCTGGCTGTTCGCACGCCCGAAGTACTGTGTGTGGGTCCCCTTCTGGCCCGCACGGTGCACAGTTGCTCGGCCTTCGGGCCAGGGAGGTTGGATGGGGTCGGCCGTCTGTTCGTACGCCCACAGTACATCAGAGCGAATGTATCTAGTGCACGGCGAAGCTGGACCATGTTGGCCGCCCTTCAAGGGCCCGAGTATCTCCATCTTCACGGCCTGCAGAGCTCTCCGAGATCGATCCCCCAGGCGGCGATTCTGGATGAATCCCCACCTCGGATCTATACGAGAGCGTGGCCCATGCACCGCCGTATCATGCACGGCGTGTGTTCTTTTTTCTGCTCCGAGGGCCGAACACATATGCGCCGTATCACTCCTGGGTCGAGGATCGACGACGCCTCGGGAGACGCCAACGCGGTACGGTGCACACAAGTCGACCGAGGACGAAATACAATTGGTACGATGCCTAGCAGCATCTGTTTTCCAACACCGGCAGCGGACGCTGCTGGGAATGCGACGGATTGTCTCAATCTGACGACGCCCGCAGAGACATCGACAACGAATGGGCCAGAACTGTGACTGGTCTCCGTTATCATTCTTGCGCACCCGTGTCGACCCTCCAGAGCTGGAAGCCCGTCTTGAGCATCGTTTATCCGACCCCCATCCCCAGCGGCGTGGCCTGGGCCCCACTGGCCGATTTACCCCCTGGATGAGGATATAGGCCGTTCCCTTCGGGCTTCGGGGGGTGTATCCCCAACTAGGGTGGTAATTTGGTGGGCGGCTCGAAGGGGATGAGGATGGGGATGGGGGTCGGTGAAACGATCCTGACGTCTGGGGCCCTGATCTCCAACGATGTGCTCTGTCAATGCGGGCAGGCCTCCGTCGTCTCGGCCCCACGGGGCCCGCCGTCGGGCCCCGTGGGGCCTGCAACAGTCGGCCAGGGGGCGAGAACTGACCATGGGGCATGGGGACCGGACCGGCAGTCGTCGCCCCCGAGCCTCCAGCCTCCAACGGGGAAGATGGCAACCCAAAGGACTCTGTGGGGCCACCCACCGCACAGGACATCGCCTGCGGCCCAATTCGGGGACATGCCGTAGGGGGGCGCCTAGTCGACAGGGTGGGCCCAGATCGCCCACCCGGGACCACATCCCCGAAGTCCCCTCCTTGCCTGAGCGCCCTGATCTTTCGGAGAAGTCGTTGGGGAAACCTCCTCGTCACTAAGCGAGCAAGCCTGCATGGTGGGCCCTTTCCGTCCTTCTGTGCCCTTCGGCTTCTGCTCCGGCTCTGGGCGCGTCGCGGAGCGCCCTCGGGCCAGCTCGCCCGAGTCGGCTCTCCGCGTGCCTCCCTCACTCGTTCGTCGTGGTCGCCACTTGCCGTCGCGGCCGTCGTCGCCCTCGAGCCTCGAGCCTCCTCGTCGCTCGTCCGTCGTCGCCGTTCGCCGTCGCCGTCGAGGCCATTGTCGTCGGCGAACCTGTGCCAGTCTTTGGGGGGGCCATTCCGCCACGCGGTCGAGGGCAACCATTCGCGCAAGCCCGCAGGTCACATTCCCAGTCATGAGCCTGACGAACGCACCAAGCATCCTAATCCCCGACTTTCTGGAGCGTCCGGATGAACCAAACATTCGAAGCCAAGCTCAGGGATACACGACTGGGGGGCGTCCATCCTCGATAGGGGTGAGTCCGAATAACCGAGTGTTCCCGATCATTATTCCCTGGGGATGATACAGCTCGGGGGTCTGGCGGGGATAATCAACGATATTCCCCGGCGAAGGTGACGATGGTGATGATGATGGTGATGATGATGATGGTGATGATGGTGATGATGATGATGCTGGGCGCTCGTGTAGACTGACCTTTTAGATATTGACACAAGACTGACTCGAGAGATTTCGAGTCTCGTGGCTACAACTTGCCTACGCAAGAGAAGTCCTTGGCGCTCATGCCCAAGAAACCTCTCTTGCCGGCCGAGAAAGTGAGAATCCCATGGCCCTGCCACACGTTCGTGACTTGGGAAAACTGAATTGGTGAGAATCCCATAGCCCTGCCACGCGTTCGTGATTGCGGAAGCTGAAATGGTGAGACCACCATTGCCATGCTCAGCGCTGTTGATGCTGTTGCTAGTCAACATACGATTATAGCAACTTCGATTCGCAACTTCCCCCGGTGATGTTCAAGTTCGGCCTCAGCGCCCCTCTCCACAATTAAATCCGATTGACACGGGATAATAAAGATACAGGGGGTTAAGGGTTAAGCGGGGGTACATGATTATCCGGGGCAGTGGGTTAGGCTCGCGGGGTAGCCCCTCTGAGCAGCATTTTTTCGGTCGGTGCTCGGGGATCGGGGGCGAGAAACCACCTGCGCGGATTCACGCACCTTCAGAGCGCACCTCCTTCGCGTGCTGAAAGTCTCCCGCTCGCCTGGATCCACGCGCGCTTAGGTTTCTCGCTCGCCTGGACGGTCGAGAACTTCACCTGCGTAGCCTCTTGGGACGAATGCGCCTCCCCTCGGTCCCACACCCTCGGTCTCAGGGGGCGGTGCTGGGGCCACATGCTGAGCGCACCTCCTAGATTTCTCGAACGAGGACCGAAGATCGAAGATCGGAGGATCGATCGAGGATGAATGATCCATGATCGATCGAACGCACCTCGATGGTCGATCGAGGATCGAGGATCGAGGATCGAAGGATCGATGACCGAGGATCGATCGAGGATCGAGGATCCAGGATCGATCGAGCGCACCCCCAGTGACTGCATCGAGCTGCACCCCCGCCTCCGCCAGCCCAGCGGCGAGGGCGCCGATGCAGAGCGCGAGGGCGCCCAGCCGGCGCCAGCCCGCGGCGCTGCGGGGGGGCTCCCGCGCCGCGCCAGCGTCGGCCTCGCGCCATGAGGGCGACGAGAGGAGGAGGAGGAGGAGGAGGGGGAGGAGGAGGGGGAGGAGGGGGAGGAGGGGGAGGGGGAGGAGGGGGAGGAGGAGGAGGAGCGAACGGGTCTTGCACGCACGATGGCTCAGCGGCCTTGCGCCAGCCTGCCAGCGCGGCACACCGCGTGGAAACGAAGGCGCTGACGCGCTGCCTGACTCGGGCAGCTTGCGCGCCAGTGTCGGCGCACTCGACCTCGTTTTCTCCTGTCGCTCAGGCAAGGACAAAGGGCGATCGATTTTCGAGGGCAGAAGCGGAGCAATGAATTGTTCGACCGTTTTCGCTGGTTCTTGGCTGGTCTCCGGCATCCAGATGCTTTCCAACAGCTTCGCCTCGCCGAGAGCGTTCCAGGGAGTGCCCCGGTCGTCCCGATCGGCCTACAGGGGCCCGAGCTATGGCCCGACAGTCAGACTGGTACCCATGCGGAAGAGAACCCCGCAGCGGGCCCGTGTCGTGACGACTCCAGCGCTGGCTTCTGACGCCGCGTGGATCGTGCAACCTTGAACGACCGGCGGCTTCTCGATCGTCTGATCGTTCCGTTTCGGTAGATCCTGGGCCACTGGCGGCGCTCAGCCTGGAGCGCCCAGGGCGGGATCGCAGCCGCGTCGACACGACACCGTAAACAGCCTTTCACAACCACGATGGGCGGCCAAGATGGGCGACCGACTTCGGGGGCCAAGGCTCCGCGTGGCAACGCCTCGGGAACTGGGCGAAACAACCGCCCCACTCGACGCCCTGATGTTGAACTCGTCCGCGCGGATCGGCCGCACTGACGCACTCAGAGTTCTCAATTCTAGGGCAAGGCTGCGCGGGCCAATGGGCGCGCGGAGCCGCAATTCCACAGCGCGGAAAAGAAACTGCTCCCTTCGACGCGCGGCAACGCATGGGGGGCGACATAAAACTACTACTCTACTCTACTCGATACTTGGCAATACCGAGAGTGGACAAAATTACAGATCCACTCCTACTCGCTACATGATAACGCCTTGGGGGGCGAAAAACATTCACTCCTCTCTACTCGCCACGTGGAAACGCCTTGGGTGCGAAAGCACGATCCGGGGCGTGGCGTGGCAACCCCGCGGGGAGGAATGGATAGTATTCCGCACAACTCGCCGCGCGGCAACGCCCCGCGAGGGGGGCGAATACAAATGCTCCACTCGATACCCTGATGTTGAAATCGTCCGCGCGGATCGGCCGCACTGACGAACTCAGAATTCTCAATTCTAGGGCAGGCCTGCTTGGGCCGATGGGCGCGCGGACTGGCAACGCCACGGGGCGAAACGAAACTGCTCCGCTCGACGCGCCACGCGGCAACGCGCGGGGGTGAAACAGCTCTACTACACGTGGCAACGCCGAGGGCCGGACACAAACACGAATCCACTGCAACTCGCCATGTGCCAGCGCATGGGAAGGGGCGAACAGTAACGCGCCACTCTACTTGCCACGTAGCAGCGCCTTGTGGCTGCGAAACCAATCCTCTCTACTTCAGGCGCGGCAGCGCCGCGGGGAGGAAACTATGGCGTTCCGAGGCCTCGTGGGGTGGGGGGCGGAAAACACATACTCCCTTCTACTCGCCACGTGGCAACGCCTGGGGAGCGACAACAAAATCCACTCCGCTCCGAGCGTGGCAACTCTGAGGGCGGACGAAAATACGAATCCACTGCTACCCGCCTACTCGCCGCGTGGCAACGGTGGCAAAATGTTTGACCAAGTAGCGTTTCCCAAGGTGAAGAGGGACGTTGGGGAAGCGGAACGTCAGGGGGGTCGTGCTCAGGGGGGGAACATCGGCTTGGAATCGGCGATAAGCCCCGATAACGAAGCCGTACGGTCCTGGGCAGGGTGGGGCCATCGGTCATCGGGACCCTGTCGGCGCTGAATGTGCGATGCACCCCTGTCGGTCACTGGGACCCTGTCGGTCATTGGGACCATGTCGGTCATTGGGGCCCTGTCGGTCGATGCATCCCCACCGAGCCCATCGCCCCCTCAAGCTGCCACCTGGCCTTTTGAATCGAGGGTCCAGTGAGGACGATAGGGGGGGTACCGGCTCACGGGGGACGGGGAAGATCGAGCTCGACTCGGCGATGCATCGCCGACAAATCTGCGAGGCCCCCGATTGCGGAAACCCACGTTCCTGCGCGGGGTGGGCCCATCGGGCCCCCATCGGCTATGACTGAATGTGCGAGTGGAGGTCGGTGCATCGGCCCCTGAGCCTGTCCCCCCCTAGCGGTGCCCCTGAAACAGATCCCCTCCCGAGCCCAAAGTGGTTCTTCTCTCAGCTACGCAACTGTGCGAGCCTCGGCGTCGGGGTCCGCGGGCAGCAGCCCCGCGCTCTCCGCCATCGCGAAGTTCGGGCAGCGCCTCCGGGGCCGCCCGTGATTCCTGGGCAGGCCTGGCTCGGCGGGGGGTCTCTCCAGCGCCTCGGGCCACGAGCGGCCGCGGGGGGGCGGAGCGACCCTTCGATCTGGGCGCGGCACGCTTTTCACGCAGGGCGCTGCTGGCTCGAAACATGCAGCAGAAACAGGGGGTCTAGGGCTCCGACCATGATCCTTCGCGACGTCGCAATGTTCCCGCAACGTCGGATCTCAGGAGTTGGCGGTGCGCGCAAGGGGGTGGCCCGAGGGGGGCGGCCTTCCACGAAGGCGGGGCAAACAAGCGGGAGGCCTCTGTACGTAGAAGGACCCAGGGGCTCATCGGAATGCGTGCTCGGATGCTCCTCAGCGGCCTCACTGCAAGCGGACAAGAGCCACAGGCCGTCGGGAAGCGGGAGGAAGAAGGGGGCATGTAGGAACCAGATGCGGGAAAGGAGGAAGGGATGGGGGGGCATCTCGCTCTGTCCTCGATTTCTCTACGTCGTTGAAGTGGGGGAGGGATGGGGGGATGGGAGGGACGGTTGGTTGGATGGGAGAGGGCGGGGAGAGTGAGAAGGGAGTGGGGGTGGGGCAAGAATGGCAAAACGGGAATGCAGAAAAGATGAGGACGGGGGGAAAAGAAATGCAGGAATGGAAAGGGGAGGGAAGGGGTAGGGCAGAAAGGGGAGGGCGGGCCAGACGCAAGAGAGCGGCCTGAGCGGGGGAAGAAACTGGGAAGCAGGAAGATCCTCCTCCTCCTCCTCCTCCCCTCCTGCTCCTCCTCGTCCTCCTCCTCCTCCTCCTCCTCCTCCTCCTCGCACGTCGCGTCCCGCAGGGAAGTCGTTGACCAACCCTACAGCGTGGCATACACGATCACCTCCCCACTGTCTCAAAAGCATCCGAGACTGCATCCCTTCGTGGATGACCTAGCCGACTCGCGATTGGGTAACACACATTGCTCCCAAGGGCCAGGGGGAGTTCAAACGCTGTTTTGAGCCCCCTAGGAGTTCTCTTCGTCTGAGCTCCGTTCAGTCGCTCGTGTCTTGAGAATGACACTGCGGTTGAATTAGCCTGCTAGCCTTTACAACTGCGTGGTGCCCGCATTGCATACAGAACAGTACGGGAACATCTGTGCCAACTATTGTGGAGCACCATAAACATGATTACATCGATTGTCCCCGATGGCCTCAACCACTTGCTGGAGTGTTGGAGGCAAGTTGAAGCATTGAGACGATCTCGAGGTGGTCCCGCTGCACGGATGGCAGGACAAGCACCGCAAGACACCATCATTGCATATATTTGTATGGGGTCGGCAAATATGCGGGTGCCGTGGGCTCCTAGGCACGCGTTCCAATTCCCGAAGATGTCAATCTCCAGTTTCCAGTTCTAGTGTTCCTCCTCTTCCTCCTTCTCCTCCTCCTCCTCCTCGCGCTCCTCCACAACGCCGTGCTCCCAGGATGTGGAGAGGGGGGGGGCAGTAGCAGTAGAGCGGGTGGACTGGATGGGGGCAGGGAAGAGGGTGGGGCCAGGCTTGCGCAACCACCACTGGCTCCGTCGTCCCTCTCTTCCTCCTCCTCCTCCCCCTCATCCGCCTCCTCCTGTTGATCGCCCGCCCCAGCACACCCGTCCTGTGGTTGCTCATCCCTCACCCTTGCTTCTCTCCTGTGTCATCGTAGTCCCCCTCTCTCCCTGCTACATCTGCAGATTGATTCCTACATCCGCCACCGTGCCTGCAAAGAGCGGGCGTGTTAGAATGCCCGTCTGTTGTCCGGAAGGAGTTGTGCAGATTGCGAGACCCCCCGCCATGGACGCGCGCGCCCCTCGAACACGTCCCCTCTGGAATTGACTTCTGGCTGTCTGTTCGGCCTCTAGGCGGCCAAAATGGCCTCCAACACGGTTACCGAAACAGCCGAGACGACAACAACACTGCTGCTCAAGATGGCTCCAGATAGCTCAGTTGCCTTTCAAGACAGCCTCACGACGGCCAAGAAGGCCCCAAGAGGGCCCAAAGACGGCCCAAGACCCTTCCAAGACAGTCCAAGAGAGCTCCAAGGGGCCTCCATCAACAGCCCGAGCGGGCCCAAACACTTGATTTCCCTGAGGCGTTTGAAGGATACCGAGGTTTTCGCCTGCTCGGGTTGCAAGCCGCCCAAGACGGCCCAAGAGGCCTCCAAGACAGCTCCAAGACCGCCCGACAGGCCCACAAGAGAGCCCCGAAAAGGACCAAGAAAACCCGCAGGGGCCCACACGAGGCCCCCCAAACAGCCTTGAAGCGCTTCGAGAGAGGAGAGAGGCCCTTTAGGCCAAGAGGTCTCCAGGAGGCCCTCCTGGAGAGCCCCGGGAGGCCCACACCATTGAGTTGTCTTAAAATGTGATAAAGTTTGAGGTTCTCGCCTGCTCGGGTTTCAGACCGCCCACGACGGCCCAAAAAACACCCAAGAGGTCTCAAAGCGGCCTCCAATATCTCTCCGGGGACAGCCCAATACACCCCAAGAGGACCTCGAGTCGGCCCAAACAGGTAGAAACATCTTCCGCCCCCATTCGGGCCCCAAAACGGCCGTGAACCGCCCGAAGGCGGCACCAACACTGCCTGAACGACCCCCGACGCGGCCTCTATAGGCGTCAGACGGACCAAAATCCATTCGGAAAGCCCAGAGTGCCCCAAGAGGCTTCCGCGAGGCCCCACGAGGCCCCCAAGAGGCCCCCAAGAAGCTTTCAGGAAGCTTGCAGGAAGCCGGCATGAGGCCCCAAGAAACTTTTTTTATGCGCATCCTCAGGTTATCCCTCTCGTCCTCCTCCTCCTCCTCTTCGCTGCCACGCGGGCGAAGACGAGGTCGGGATCGCGACCCGCCCTAATGAAGACTACTCGTCGGAATTGCGCTGTGTTTACACTCAATCGCCTTACTGCTACGTGGTTGCGCAAGCACCGTGGCAGGGTGTTGCCGCACGCAACTGGATCTACATATGACCACCCACGCATATATATATAGAGAGAGAGAGAGAGAGAGAAAAAAAGAGAGAGAGAGAGAGAGAGACAGAAAGAGAGAGAGAGAGAGAAAGAAAGAGAGAAAGAGAGAAAGAGAGAGAGAGAGAGAAAGAGAGAGAGAGAGAGAGAAAAAGAAAGAGAGAGAGAGGGAAAGAGAGAGAGAGAGCAACACACATACACGCATATCTGTATATATATATATATATATATATATATATATATATATATATGGGCTCTGTCGTATCCCCGCCCCCCTGAAAAAAAATGAGCAGAAGTGCAGGCTCCGTTTCGCTCCTCCGATCTCCCCCTCTTCCCCACTCCTCCTCCTTCTTCTCCATCCTACTCCGCCGCCTCTGCATCCGCGAACACTTTTCTCTCGCGAGCAAGGCCCCAGCCGTGCCCGCTTCTCATTGCGTTCGCCAATGCTCTGTGCATTGTGCAGGCGCCCTCAGATCGCGGCGTTGCCCGCGACGAAGCCATTGGACGCGGCCAGGCCCCGCGTCACGCTGGCCGTCGCGCCGCCGGCGTTGACGTAGAAGACGTACTCGTCCATCTCTGCCTCGCTCAGGTGGAGGTGGCCGTAACGCTTGCGTGACCATCCCTTGGCGCGAGCGTTCTCCGACTCCACGTCGTCGGTGTGGAATCCAGTCTTCTTGTCCCTGCACTGGTTGCCCTCGTGAACCACCGCGGGGGGGCTCTCGGAACCTAGTTTCCCAAGGGCTGAACGCGTTGAGGCCAACCCGTCGGGCACGACCATCGACTTCTTGCGCACGCGGCTCACCAAAGCCTCCTTGATCTCTTCGAGACCCCGCGGCTCGCCATTGTGGGCGTCGGCCTTGCGCGGCAGGAGCTTGTGCGTCACCCTCTTCCTGGGGTCCAGGTGCGTGTAGACGTCGGACTTGTTGCCCACGAGTACGGCGATCCAGAGCCAGCGGCCGTTGCTCTTCAAGTTGGCGGCGGGCCTCTTACGAATGGCTACGTTCTTCCGCGGGGGGCCCTCATCATCGGCGCCTTCATCGGCCTCATCATCGGCCCCTTCATCGGCTTGCTCTTGAGCTTGAAGGAGCCCTTCTGCACTTGCTGGGTGTTGTAGACCGTCCGCGCTGGCAATCGCTTCAGGATCTGCTTCCGCGCCAGCTTGGTGGTCCTGCGCGGCCCTGTGCGCGCCGTAGTGGCCCCGCCTTTGGTCGCGCTCCTGGGTTCGAGCACCCATCCGTCCGCCTTATCGACGCCGATCACCGTCTCGTCGACGACCACGGTGTCCCCCTTCTTGCCGCCGACCATGAGGGCGTCCAACGCAGGCAGCGCTTTCCCCAGGCATTCCTGGTAGAGCTGCTTCCAAACGGAGATCGTGCCCCTGTGAATGTTGCCGAACAGGTCGGCCATCTCGTCTTGGACGTCCTCGAGGTTGCGCCCCAAGCGGAGGTTGTTGATCAAGTACAGGAAAGGCATCCACGAGTTCACAGGAACCTTCGTGAGGAAGCCGTGCGAGTTCACAGGTTCGCAGAAGTGCTTGTGCCCGACGGTCTTGCACGACCAGCGGTAGGTGTTCCACTCGCGGTCGGCGCGGGCTTCGAACTTCGTCGACCCGCCGCACTCGGCGCACCCGCTAGGCCGAGCAGCGACGCCGTAGTGGAGGAATATGGCAATCGCGCGCAGGCTCAGCGCGTCCTCCAGCCCATCTGGAAACAATATGGGGCGCCGCAGCACGTGCTCCTCGAAGGCGGCGCTGCTCGCGAACCACTCGTCGCAGATGGAGCGCCGCCATTGCTTGAAGGAGACGGGCGCCACGCGGACGCCCGCGAGGCCTCCAGTGCGAGCTGTCTTCGGCATCGGGCCAGCGCCCCCGACGCGCGCCCTGCCGACGCTGCCTTCGAGCCAAAACAGCTGCGGATGTTTGGAACTGGGCAGCCGCCACAGGTGGCGGCGACAACGAAATCTCCAACGTTTCAATAACGTCCGTATACTATCGAAATGGGGCAGGGAGAACAAGGCGAACTCGGGGCGAGCGGAGGAGACGACGACGACGACGACGACGACGGCGGCGACGGCTCTTGGGTCATCGCAGTCGGTCAGAATAACAACTCAGAGTGCAATCATCGTGGTGTTCATATGGGAGCCCGCGAAGCGCGCTGGGGGCCCATCAGAGGCTCGGCGGCGGCCGCCCCGCCCGAGCGTGATCCGACCCGGAAGCGCCGTCGACGCCGCGCTCGCCCCCGCCCGCGGCCGCGCGCTCAATCCTCCTGAGGCCCGATGAAATTCGCCGCGTCCTCTTCCTCCCCCGCAGACGGCAGGGGCACCTCCACGCCGTCGGCGCCCAACATCTGCGAGAGCTGGACGTCGAGCTCGCCGCGGGGCGGCGCAGAGGGCCTCGCTGCAGAGGACGACGCCGCGGCATGCTGCTTGGCGGGGGGCGGGCTATCGACGTTGATCGTCATCCCCGAGAGCAGACGCTTCCGAAACATCAAGCGCTCAGGGGACACGGGCTCCCGCTTGACCTGTCGGAAGCTCAAAAGTGGGGCCCGGGTGGGGGCGCGCCCCTAAGGACGAGGAAGGGTTTCAGCAAGCGAATCGCTTCGAAACGCCCCCTCGCCCATAGGGCCACGCCCCTCAGCACCTCATCTTTGAAGCCCGAAGCCTGGGCGATCGCAGGGGCTGGCAAAGCGCCGACGGCCGCGTCCGAGGACTTCTTGCGGTTCTTCTCCACTGCGGAATCAACGAGGAGCCGCTCCTTCTCCATGAGCTGATCGAAGTTGTCGGGCGGCGTCATGTCGCCGTCCTTCTGCTGCTGGCACAGGCGCTTCCCCTCGTCTGTCAGAAAGGTTTCCCCCTTGAAGTGGATGCGCTGCACGTCCTTCTCCTCGGTGCCTGGCGGGCGCCAGTATAGATATTCCTGCGTGTTCACGAGGAGCGCAGCGCGCTTGAAGAAAGCCAACATGCAAGCGCGGGTTGCTTTCTCGTGGAAGGCAGGGCGCACGAGCTCGAAGAACTCCTTGAACGTCACGGAGGGCCAGCGGTCTAGCTTCTCAGCATTCGGGTCGTATGTCTGGTCAGCCATGCACCGAGGCTCGCCCTTCTTCCATTTTGTCGCGCCCCACCTGGCCCAGCACATGCTCTCGTACTGGCCGACGTCCAGCAGAGCCTTCGCCATCTTCGGCGGGAGGAGGTTCGAGCGCCCGTCGTCAACGAAACCCCCCATCAGAATGTCGCCTGGCTCGCCGCGTAGGAAGTCGATCTCAGGCGTCGCGCGGATGGGGCAGCGCGCGGGGTCCAACCCGTTTGCCCTCGCGTTCCTGCGGCACATTGCCATCAAGAACGCGCGCCCGAGCGGTGTCTTGCCGACGTTGGGCCCCCCAATGAGGACAAGCGAGTGGTTGCTGCTGATGGGATCCGCCATGGCATTGAGAACGCGAAGGTCGAAGTGCTCATCGCAAAGGGTCACGACGTTACCGAACTCCTTCTTCGCCAGAGCGCCCTCCGCCACCAAGGAGCGCAAGGACTTCTCAACGAGGCCGATGGGCCATCCGCGGAGGGGCACCCCTGCCCTCGTCGCGATCGTCTGCCAGCGCGCCTGCTGCAGGCCCACCGTGGACTTCGGGGCCTCGTTGATGATGTATTCGAAGCCAGCGTTGATCTCATCGTCGCTCTTCTCATAAAAAGCGTTCTGGGTGGCCTTCGCCTTGGCTTCGGGCGAGAGGAAGAATTGGCGAAACTGTTTGCCGCCAAAGTCTTCAAACACGTATTGCCAGACCTTCGCGCCGATCTTCGGGTGCGCGAAAACCAGCCTCCGCGGCGCCCCATAGGCCAACTCCTTGGAAGGGCGCGAACTTCACCTTACGTTCGGGGCTCTTAAGGACGATGTGCTTGTGGATTGTTTTGGCGCCGCCCTGGCCGTCCAAAATAGCGAGCTGGAGCTGCGTTTCTGGCGGGGGCGGGCTCTTGAAACCGCGCGGCGCTGGGAGGCCGCTGCAGTCGTTGTTCTCGGACGCTTTCGTGTAGAGTTCATCCAAGTTGGCTGGGGCGGCATCCGCGTGGTTCACAACTACGTCGATGTAGTGTGCCAAAGCGTTGTCCTGCGGCGTCACTTCCTTGGTGAACTCGTCCAGAATGTCAGCCGTGATCCTCGCGGGAGTTGTCGGGGTGACCAGCGGCGCCGAGAGCGCGCGCAAGAAGTACCCCTCGACGCGCTCCTTGACGTCCTCGCACATGGCCATAGCGAGTCGAGGCGGCGCGGCGGGCGGCCGAGACGCGGCGAGAGCTTTGCGGTCGAGCCCAAACAGCTACGAGCTAGTGCCGTTCGCTCCTCTCGGCGTAGCTCCGCGTCCGCCACGGAAGGGGCATCCGTTTTTTGGGATGCCCCTCCAGAGTAGCGCCGTGGAAGCGCTTTGCAATGTTGAAATCTTGGTTTGTGGTGTGGTATCATCACTGATGCTGGGCCGCTGCTGGTGTCGTTGCGTAACAAGTGTGCGACCATGTGGCCTTGTGTTCGGGCACAATGATGGGAACCCGTTTTTTTGGGTTCCCTCCTGGGTCCGCGTCCGCCACAGAGGGGCATCCGTTTTTGGATGCCCCTCCAGAGTAGCGCCGTGGAAGCGCTTTGCAGTGTCGAAGACTTGGTTTGTGGTGTGGTGTCATCAATGATGCGGGGCCGTTGCTGGTGGCGTTGCGTAACAAGCGTGCGGCCATGTGGCCTTGTGTTCGAGCACAGTGATGGGAACCCGTTTTTTGGGTTTTCTCCTGGGTCCGCGCCCGCCACGGAGGGGCATCCGTTTTTCGGATGCCCTCCAGAGTAACGCCATGGAAGCGCTTTGCAGTGTTGAAATCTTGGTTTGTGGTGTGGTATCATCACTGACGCTGGGCCGCTGCTGGTGTCGTTGCGTAACAAGTCTGCGACCGTGTGGCCTTGTGTTCGGGCACAATGATGGGAACCCGTGTTTTGGGTTCCCTCCTGGGTCCGCGTCCGCCACAGAGGGGCATCCGTTTTTGGATGCCCCTCCAGAGTAGCGCCGTGGAAGCGCTTTGCAGTGTCGAAGACTTGGTTTGTGGTGTGGTGTCATCACTGATGCTGAGCCGTTGCTGGTGTCGTTGCGTAACAATCGTGCGGCCATGTGGCCTTGTGTTCGAACACAGTGATGGGAACCCGTTTTTGGGGTTCCCTCCTGGGTCCGCGTCCGCCACGGAGGGGCATCCGTTTTTCGGATGCCCTCCAGAGTAACGCCATGGAAGCGCTTTGCAGTGTTGAAATATTGGTTTGTGGTGTGGTACCATCAGTGATGCTGGGCCGTTGCTGGTGTCGTTGCGTAACAAGTGTGCGACCATGTGGCCTTGTGTTCAGGCACAGTGATGGGAACCCGTTTTTTGGGTTCCCTCCTGGGTCCGCGTCCGCCACGGAGGGGCATCCGTTTTTGGATGCCCCTCCAGAGTAGCGCCGTGGAAGCGTTTTGCAGTGTCGAAGACTTGGTTTGTGGTGTGGTGTCATCACTGATGCTGAGCCGTTGCTGGTGTCGTCGCGTAACAAGCGTGCGGCCATGTGGCCTTGTGTTCGGGCACAGTGATGGGAACCCGTTGTTTGGGTTCCCTCCTGGGTCCGCGTCCGCCACGGAGGGGCATCCGTTTTCCGGATGCCCTCCAGAGTAACGCCATGGAAGCGCTTTGCAGTGTTGAAGTTTTGGTTTGTTGTGTGGTATCACCACTGATGCTGAGCCGTTGCTGGTGTCCTTGCGTAACAGGCGTGCAACCATGTGGCCTTGTGTTCGGGCACAGTGATGGTAACCTGTTTTGTGGGTTCCCTCCTGGGTCCCTTCCTGGGTTCCCTCCTGGGTCCCCTCCTGGGTTCCTTCTTGGGTCCCCTCCTGGGTTCTCTCCTGGGTACCCTCGTGGGTTCCCTCCTGGGTCCCTTCCTGGGTTCCCTCCTGGGTCTCCTCCTGGGTCCCTTGCTGGGTTCCCTTTTGGGTCCCCTCCTGGGTTCCTTCTTGGGTCCCCTCCTGGGTTCTCTCCTGGGTACCCTCGTGGGTTCCCTCCTGGGTCCCTTCCTGGGTTCCCTCCTGGGTTTCCTCCTGGGTCCCTTGCTGGGTTCCCTTTTGGGTCCTCTGCAGGAGCGTCTCTGGGACATCTCTGGGGCCTCCCTGGTGCCTCTCTGGTGCCTCCAGGGGTGTCCTGGGGCCTCCTGGGAGCGTCCGGAGCCGTCCGCCCCCCACGGGGGCCTGGCGGAGGGGGGTGAAAAACCAAAGAAACCTGAGGAACAACAAAAAAAAAAAAAAAATCAAAGGCAGACCATCGAAACAACAAAAAAAAACTTAAGGAAAAACAGCAAAAACAAAGATTTCAGTGCTTCGTCCACCCCCGCGCCCCCAAGAGAAAGTATTGAAATCTTTTGTTTTTTTTAGTTGTTTTGGTTTTTCCTTAGTTGTTTTTTTGGTTTTTCGGTGGTCTGCGTTTGATGTCTTTGGTTTTTGTTGGTTTTTCCTTAGGTTTTTGTGGTTTTTCCTTGCCGTTGTTGTTTTTCGCTCGCCCCTTGCCTGGATGCCACGGATGCAGACTCTCTTCAGAACAATGGCAAGACAGAGGAGGAAGACGACGACGACGACGAGGACGACGACGAGGGTTTCCTATGGTTTTGCTTGGTTCCGCCTTCGGTAGGGGAATCTGATTGGGAGGAGGAGGAGGAGGAGGAGGAGGAGGAGGAGGAGGAGGAGGAGGAAAAGGAGGAGGAGGAGGAGGAGGAGCAGAAGGGGAACGCAGGGCCGCTCTCATTATTTGTCAACGCTCCATCTTGTGCTGCCGACGTTGCGTCGTTGAGCGCGCAAACGAGGAGGCACGAGAGCCCCGAAAGA